AATAACATAAAGTCTACAAATCGTATGGTGATCGTAGCAGCAAATAAAGAACAGCTCCACGTACTAATGAACATACTCACAGAAGAGAGTACCACAACAGGGTTGAAAATAAATAACATAAAACAAAACGTTCGTTTTCAGCCGAGTTTTACAAGCCCATCACAATCTTAATATTAGTACCAATGGAATCAATCTGCAACCCGTTCAAATACATATATATATATATATATATATATATATATATATATATAGAGAGAGAGAGAGAGAGAGGGAGAGAGAGAGAGAGAGAATTAAATTCGCTAGATACTCCGGTCGTCAGAGAAGAAAATGTCACTGAGCCACTAAAAATCATACCAACAAGCTGAATTTTGCCGAGAATATTAATTTTAGGACCCCAAAAACGGTGAAAAAAGTTTATCTGTTTTATTCCCGGGTTTCCTCCTATTACTTCCTCGTAGGGGGGTAAAGACTCAAAAAAATCGATTTACCAGTAATCTGAACACCGTAGAAAAAAATGTTTTAAATAAAAAATGTAGCTGAGATGAACCGTTCTCTCACAAACAACGCTTGAAGCGACCGTCGATTTTGAATGTCAGTTACGCGCGCGAAATCAATGTTCAGTAAAATTATTATCAGCGTGACTGTAAAAATTCGATATCTTTCGATTCAAGTGTCCTATCGACAAAAATCAAGATGCGTTTTAACGATAAAGAGTTCAGCTTTCGTATGCAATTTTTGTATTTTGCCGCAAGTAAACTTAAATTTTATAAAAGTGTTAAATAAACAAACGTGGCGCGATTTTTGCCATTTTACACCAAAGACTAACTTTATGTGGAAAATGCACAACAAACTAAAATTTTCAGATGATGAACATTTCGTACTTTGTGAATTAACATTTTTAAAATGGTAAAACTTATAAGTCATATTCTAAAAAAAAGTTTTGAAAATCTACTGCTGTTAACACAGATTAGTTAGTTTGTAAGTTGAATGTGCCATTAAAAAATCAAGACTCCTTATAGTTTTTTTTCTACGACGATACCAATCTCCCTGAAAAAGTGCACTAGCCACTTACTTTCGTACGTCTAAGCCAAAAACGTTGGATACTGTCCGCGAAGTGTTGGAAACATATGAAAACCTGATCAGTTGCAATTTCTAGGTTAAAATGTTAATACGTTGAAGTGTTTTTAAAACCAATCTAAAGAATTTTAAAAATATTACAGCCTTGTCCAATTACTATTTTTATCAACCTCTAATAGTATACAGGGTGATCAACTATTGCATTTTTGTAATAAAGTCGGTTATATCTGTTATTATATAGGTCATATCAAAAAGTTATTTACCAAAATAAGAGTTAGCTATAAGCTTCACATTTTAAAATTAGTTACAAATGTACAGGGTCTTCCATAACACTGTACCACATGAAAGATTGTTTTTAATAAAATATTCTGTATTTTATTTTAAATTTAAAATCCGTTTTCTCGTTCTAATAATACAAAGTTATTTTGTACAGGGTATTTAAAAGTTACAAGCAAATTTTAATAAAAATCGTAACAAGTTCAACACCCTGTACAATTGAAAAGGGATATAAAAGCAACGACCTGTTGTAGTCATAGTTACTTTAAATCGCATAAAAATGCATCATCTTGTTTCTTTATATCACCGTCATAAATAAAGCCAATGTAGTTTAATTTACATTTATTTATAAATTACATTAATTATATTAATTTTCTTTAATATTTACATATATCCGTGAAATGTCCCTTTTTCGACTACACTTTAATATAACTAAAAAATATATTACTATTTTAATGGGAATAAGCCACACTTAAAGTTTAAAATGAGTTTATTGATGTTTCAATTTCTACTTCGGAAATAGTCACAAAATACAAAATATTAATGTTTTATTAATGTTTTGCACTTTGAGAACCATTTCCGAAGTGGAAATGGAAACGCCAATAAACTTATTTTAAACTTAATTTGTGGCATATTTCCATTAAAATGGTAGTTCCTTTAACATGACACAAGAAAATCGCTTCAGAACAACCTTCAAAACTATGAAGTATAGGCATAAGAAACACTTAGGACAAATTTAATTACATTGTCTTTTATGATATTGATATAAAATATAGGGTGATGCATTTAAAAATACTGAGAAATAATTAATTTGTTTTTTGACTTACCCTGTATTGGATTTAAAGAGTATTACGAAAATCATCTATTCTTATGAATTTTGACAATCATCTAAAAACTATGGCTACAGCAGGTAGTTACTATTTTACGCCTTTTCAATTTTACAGGACGGTGAATTTAATATGATTTTCACTGAAATTGAATTATTATCCCTTATTAAATACCCTGTATAACCCGAAACAACTTTGTAAAGAGGAAGTGAAGCATATTTTAAATTTAAAATAAAATACAATCATTAAAAAAACATGTTTGATGCTTTTTCAAAGTTATGGAAGACCCGGTATATTTAAATTTAAAATGCAAGGTTCGCCGTTTCCTCATATTTTTGTAAATAAATTTTGTGGTATATTCTATAATAACAGATATAAGGGGCTTTGTCACAAAAGCACATTAACTTGTATAAAGTGCTACACCATAGGGGCGAATTGTTAGTGTGATTAGGAAGTTAAAAGAAAATACCTGATCACACGCAGTTCCTCATATATTTGTATCAACAATAAAAATAATTATTTGACATTTCTAACAAGTAAAATATTGGAAGATATACGATAACATAAAAAACATTTTTTTACCATTGACTAAAGTGAGATGTCCAAAGAAGGACGCTAGACAGTCAATACATTTGATGACAAGATTGAGTCAATCAATCCACGCGGACTTCAACTGATATAATAAGTTTATATTCTAAATGTAATTGTATATAGTCATTCAAATTCCCATAGAACATCTGCACCCCCTTTAGTTGCATGAATCAACCAACCTGCCAAACAACCCTAGTCAATATTTGACTCAAATGTCAAACGGGTTACTATATGGTCAATCGTGCTTGACACAATCTTCTCAGCAAAACAATTAATCATCTAGAGCCTCCTTAATACTAGATCATAAACAATATGATTGGCATAAAGTATAGAAAATCTAAGCAAATATAACACATCTTTAGTTAATATTTATTTATTTTATGGTTTATATATTTAGTTTTGTTTTATTTTGTCAGTATAGTCTCTAAAAATGCAATCAAAACGTTCCAAAACTGCAGTTTGTTCGTTTATATACTGAATACATATAGAATTCCTAATTTTAGAATTAGTAATAGTGACCGAAAATAAAAATTATATTGTATACAGTAGTGCTAGTATCTGTAAATACTGTATTATACAAAAGAAAACAAAAGCATCCTAAAACTTTTGATACTGTTGAGAGTCACATATATCTAATTGCTGCCGGTTGCGTTAGAAAAGTCCCGAAGCCTTTCCCTCGTAAAACTCCGATAAAAATATAACCTTCGCGAATACCAATACGCATGTCAGAATCATGTAAATAGAAAAAGATAGAAACAGTGCATTAAGAAAGCCCAGAATATACCAAATAACAAAAATTGGTAAGAGTACTCAGACAAAATTGCTACAAAAAGAACATCATATAGAAAGTACAGAGAGCAAAAACGGCAATAAACAACTCATACAAGCCCCTTTACTGCACATTAATGGAATCCCAAACTAAGACATAAAGGTTGATGCAGACATAGCTATTTATTTAGTAAAGTAATTTAGTCGAGTGTGTCTACTGTTCACTAAAATCGAGTAAATTAGTAGAATTTACTAGATAAGTCCATTAAAAGCAATACAATATATAAATGTAATCATTTCCTGCAGATCTTGCAGATACACATAATTAGGACAAATCCATTGAGGATTCTCCTCTAGATTAGATCAACACACATCAAGAAATAAACAATCTGCTTTATTTCTTCATGAACGTACTACAGGTCGAACTCCTACAAAAATCTAACATACCAACAAGAATTATAATAGAATCTGTTGAACAAATCTAAACCAATGAAACGTCGGCAGATCACACCTTTATCCAATGCGGAGGGAATATCACAGTAACCAATATCAAACAAATATCTTAAGAAACATGAGGGCCAACAAGTCAACAACAACAAGCACTGAGATTGAGAATATGTAAGTAGAGACAAATATATGACACCTCAATAAATCAATACAGACTGCAGCCTATACCGATGACATCAGCATTATGTCTCGCAGAACGGAAGAGGCGGCAGAAATATATTCACAATTAAAAACTGGGGCAAAACAGACCGCATTAGAAATACATATTTCTTAACGAACGTTAAGAAATAAACTGAACGCACGGGGCATGCGACATACCTCAGGATGTCGCATGCCACTGTCGCCACCAAGATGGCGGTGTGAAATAAAGGCCTCAAACTTGTAGCACCTAAACGACTTAACGTATAGGACTGTGCGAGGTGTCATGTGATAGGGTTTAACGAATCGAATACGATTACATAGAAAAATTAAACGCGTCTCTAAGTAAAAATGACCTTAGATAAGTATCTTCGCTTCTACTGGCTTAATTTGACACATAACGTAACATTTATGAGGAAAGCGATATTTTATATGACTTTTGAAGTAAAATGTGACATCTTATGTGACATTTGATACAGAACGTGATATTTATCTGAAACTTGATATGCTTTTTCTATGCTATTTTATACAAATATACTATGTATTTTGATGAATCAATTGTAATTTCTGTTAAGAGCCTTTATCGAAATAACTTATGTGGGTTTTGGGACATGTTTTAATTTTGAAAATTATTTATTCTTTTATGTTAAAGAGAGCAGTGAATTATAAAATACTGATATCATTAAAAAATGCGATTTTTATTTAGATATGAATTAAATATCTAGTTGATACCAACCAAAGATGGTATTCTTTGGACATAATATACTCAAATGATACATTATAAATATCTTGCTTTACATAATTTGCTTCTCTCACCTTTCTGACCTCTCTTCCTCAATCTAACTTGATTAGGTGAATTAGATTGCAGATAGTTATGCACAACTTCGAAATCCTGAAATGGCGGGAAGAGCAAGTCGTCCGGCAGAGGTCCCTCGACCAAAAATTTGTGTTTTCTGGAGTTTTTCAGCAATCTGTCGCCGGTATCCAAGCCGATTTTATGGCACACTGATACGATCATCCTTCTAATTTTTCCCTCGAAGTCCGTAGAGTTGTCGATGACGTCGAAGTATGGGTGGCCCACCCACGCAGCGGCTGCTTTGGTATCAACTATCCTGGCTAGTTCCACGTCTTCGGAGCGGCAGTTGTGATCCTAAAATAATATATGCTGTATATTACATACTGTTAAATAACATGTTATCATATGAACTCAGTAACGTAAAAATTCTCACTATGTGCACATCAAATTTCTCTTTGGTCTCTGTATATAAGCCACTTGGGAAAAATTTAAGTATCATAGAACAAGACAACTTAAAAAAATACCGCAACACCAACTTCCTTCTCGGTGATTTTAATTGTCAGAGTACTGCACAACGCTACAGGGAGACTGCCGCTATTCACATTATGAAAAATAACAAACCCCTACAGTAAATTCAACTTCAAGTTACGGACAGAATCAACACAAGTCACCGCGTGATATTCGAGTCTACACGTGACGAACGCCTTGCTATTGGCCAAATTGTCGAACGATCGTAAGTCATGCAGTTGCCCTAACAGGTGCGGACTTTGTTTTTCCGCTCCGTCCTCTGTCGAATGCGAAATGGCCCAGTAATTTTTGTGCAAAGCTGTTTGTTGGTTTGTTAATTTGTTAATCGTTAGCTCGTGTGTGGATTGTGCAAAGCATTTTTAAGAACATTTAATTATAGTCGATACAAACTTTTTCCCCACTTTAAAATAATTCCTGTAAGTATAATAAAAAATTTATAATAGCCATAAGATACGATATAATATCGACTTGTACTGATATGTTTAATGGATAAAAATTATTTAGTATGTTAAAAATTATGAAAAACAAGAGGTGCCCGATATAATTTTGTCATGACTATAATTAATTTAAACTCTGCGGCACGAGATTTTATAAATTTTCTACAATGGACCCTTGGGACATAGAAAGATTCAATTGCACACGTAAAAAGTAAAATGACCTCACTTTTCAAGAAACAACTGATAACCATTCGCCTTTGGCCAATAAATATACCGTGGGAATTTTGCCAATTAAAGATAACACTTAATAGGGACAGAGGGAATACAAACCACTTGCGTAGGTGTAACTCGATAAAAATAGATTAATAAGTGATTCATTTTGTGGACTACTGTACAACATGTAGCAAAAATTTGGTGGATCAAATTTCAATCCGATATGCCGAAAAGAGTTAAAAAACACCTTTTTTATATATTTAAAACAAAATCAACCCGGGCAGATATTGTTTTAGATTTTTTGGATCATTCTAAACAAAAATTTATTTTGTAATTTTTCTTAAGTTGATCGTGTTCGAGTTATAAATAATTTAAAACTGGAAGACAAGGAAGAATTGACAGGCGAACAAGAATTGACAGACGAAAAAGAATTGACAGACGAAGAACGATAGATGACGATTTTCAAGGATCAAAATCATAAGTAAAAATATCACATTTAACAAAGTGGTGTAGGCAAACTCATATCGGATCCTCTACTATAAAAGTAAATTTGAAAATGCCCATTTTGTTATTTTAGTTGAGAAAAGTATGATAAATCCATTTATTTAATATGTCTGATACGGAGTCGGCAAATGAAAATGAGGAACTGTTAACGCTAAGTCCTCCTAGGAAAAGAGCTAAGAAAAATCACGTAGATATAAGAATCAAAGAAATAATGGTTAATACATACAAATGTGAATTACAAGATAATCCTACTTTAGCGTTCCAAACACTGGAAAAAAAATGTTATAATTGTAATGGACAATGCCCCTTACCATTCCAGAAAATTGGAAAAAATTCCCATTATGGCTACAAAAAAGGCAGATATTCAAAATTGGCTTCGCTCAAAAGACCTTCCCTTCGAAGAAACGATGTTAAAGGTGCAACTTTTAGAAATCGTTAAACAACATAAACGCGAATATAATAAGTACATAGTAGATGAACTGATAATGTGGGAGTTGGACAATTTAATTGAGGCACAAATTGAGCCTATCATTATCAACTTTAATGATGACAGCAGTACATCAGATTATGAAAGTTAAGATAAAATACGGTAATTTTATAAACTTTTTTTGTATACTTTATTTTGTTGTTAATAACTCTCGACTTTGTAAATCATTTTTATATTTAAAAAATTAGTGTACTATAATCTGTACCTGTCAGACGTCTACAAATTATACAAATTATATAAGGTTTTGTATTGCAGCTTTAATTTACTAGTCCGGCCCTGAACAAACGCGTGTTTCCAGCGTGTATTTGTTTTCATCGTCCGTAGCTTGAAGTTGAATTTACTGTAGTATTGTGTACAGTACATTAACAATGGGTTCTCCAGATGATGAAAAATTATGTAAGGCAAAGTTGGTGCCTTACTTACCTAGCAAAGATACCAAAAAGATTGCCTCAAAAGCAATCGGCGAGTATCTTTGCTCTGTCACTTATTCAAATTCCTTCTATGCATGATCCTTAATAGAATTTCATCGAGAATAGACGAAAACATCATTAAAAAACAAAGTGGTTTTAAGCCAGAGAAATCTTGTACATATTGAATCTCACCCAACACATCGAAGACGGGTATGAAAGATGCCAGGTGTCCATCTGGAGCAATATTTGTAGATTTACCGTCGCTTACGATACCGCAAATCACAGAAAACTGTTTCAAGAACTCTATGGAATCATAGAAGGCGGTAAACTGAGTTGTCTTATTTGCTTCTGTATTGTGTGTTCCTGTAAAAGAGAAGATTTTTCGTCTGCCTCAACGGAAAAAATATCCGATGTAGAATAGAGAACAATGATCTCACTCAAGGCAGTGTATTGGCACCAACACCCACACCAACGAGTCATTTGTACTATTAGATACTAGAAATGTAATTCATGCAATATGTCAGCTATTGTCATATGGTATGGAGAAGCCCTTGAACACTGTTTCCCCTAAATACTTTGGTTTACCTTGGATCTAAACTTGTTTTTCAAGGAGTATTTTTTTAAATTAAAACGCAAATAATATTCTCCACAAATGTATTAACCAAAAGTGGAGTTCAACTCCTTCTACACTTAGAACATCGACGTTTGCAAACTGTCTTTCGGGTGCAGAATATACTGCACAAGTATGGAAAGCATCAGTATATACTAAATATATAGATCTAGGTATCAGCGGGTCAGTAAGGATCACTGGTGTATGTCTGAGATCCGCATACATTATTAAGTTCTTCCCTATTGTTGGTATCGTACCACCTATTGTCAGAAGAGAAGTTGCTAGAGAAGCAAATTTATGAAAGATGTACGGATTAGTAGAAGTGGGCAAAAATCTCCAGTGCTAGAGTAAACAAAAAGGTTGAAACATTACGAAAGAAAGAAAATGCAGTACTTGAGTCATGTATTAAGAGGTGGAAAATATGAGCTACTTTGGCTTATAATTAAGAAAGTAAAAGGTTAGTAGGGAGACGCCATATATCATGATTAAAGGACCTGAGAATATTTGGAGATGCAGTTTCCAAGATGGCGTAATAAGATAAAGAAAATAATTCTTACCTCTGTAGAATAAAATTCTTCCGCACCTTTTGCCGCTGTTACCATGTGTATTATTTGGTTATACCTGTTATCCCTTAATTCTACATTGTTCCAGGCGTTATGTCTCATAATATTCTCCCATGCTTCTTTGGCAACAACTAAAATAATATAAATATAAAAAAAAATGACAAAAAGTTTTTTACAAGATATTATTAATTTAATCTGTAAATGCTTATGTTTATAAATCCGCGCTGGGTTAAATAATTCAAAGCTATTATAGATACGCACAATTTCATAGAGTACAAAATTGTATATATTGTTTTTCTATATGTAATTCTACATGTAGTTTTCGATTTATTAAAAAAAAGATGATACAGCAAGCGTATAGTAGACTAGTGCGAAGCTTCATACTGTGTTTTCTGTATTTTAATTATTTTACTAATATAATAATAACAAAATAAGACAAACGATATGCAACCACAGTGTACAAAAAAACAATCCAGACCAACAGATATTTAAATTAACACTCAACCACAACGTAAACATGCCCGAAGCACCTGCTCTAATGAAAATTCATTTCAAGAAGAAAAAACCGGCTAACAAAAGTTTTGACCAATAATGACTACCCATTGACATTTATAAACAAGGAATTCCATAAGATTGAAGAAAGGAAACAACAAAACAACACCTCAAGCAATCCAGAAATATCCACAAGAAGGAACTCAAAGGTGACAAGAATACTATATGTGAAGGGCTTATCTGAAAATTTGAAAAAGATAGAAATCAAGTACAACAACAGAATACCATTAAAAACAACCAACACACAGTTAGTAAGTTATTCATAGCAAATTTTATATTTAACTATGCAGCTGTTCTTTGACTAACTGCATACAAAATATCAAGCAATACAATGTTATTTAAATTAACTAATCATTTTTTTTTTGTAAGTGATGTAAAAGATATCATGTTTTGTCATCTGCCACAGGACTCAAATGCCCGCATAGCTATATAGGGAAATCATTTCTCGTTTTTTTTTTGTTAATGCTATTTTTTATGGATAAATATTAAAATTAACAGTAATTTTCAAGTAAGAATTAGTTATATTAAAGGGTTTATTACAAGTGTTTGTATAGTTTTGAATTTATTTTCAATTTCTATGTAAAAAATACGTGAAATAATTTAAAAGACATCTTGATATTAACAACAATTCAGACGTATAGCAGCTTTTATTAAGATAACTATTAAAGCAGTATTTATAGGTTGTTTTTCAAAATTGTCCTTGCTACTTGAAAGAGTCACAATTTTTAAAACATTATATTCAAAGAAAAATAAAAATTGTTGAGTAAAATAAGAAAGTAGACACTAAACTTTATCTTCTTCATCCAACTCATCCAATTCATCAAACTCACGAATGTTTGTATCAGTGGTCAGCTTCTTGAAGAACGAATGGAACTGGGGATCAATGAGGTTAAACATTGAGAGAAGATCCTTCTTTTTCTTCGTGTTTATTGGCAAAGGTCCAGCATAGGCATAGAATTCTTACCTCTCAATATACTGAAAGTTTTAAAGGAAGAAAATAGGTTAAGATCGTACTTAAAATAAATTCGTTCAAAATCTTGAGTGTATCGTAGCCACCTGATTTTCAACCATTCGACTTTTTGTTTTCACTGTCAGTTTTTCGATGGACCAGCATATTTTTAAAGAGACTAGAAAATTCCTTTAAGTCAAGTTGTTGCATTTCAATAACTTTAAATTTCTTTCTCCCAGAAAGTATGCTGACGAACTGACATCAATCACGTGGCACCATGATTCTGTACATATCACTGATACTGTTTTTGTTAACTGAAGAGTGAAGTCTTTTTTCGCTTTTTCAATATGAGCATGATGGCTGTCGCATTCGAGACGGGTATGGCTAGGTAGCAAAAATTTTTGATCAATTACCTGAATGGCTTTCTACTTGTTCAGAACATAATAAAACATGGCGGCAATGTTAATGTTTCAGTTTTATCCTTCACAGTTGTCTGAGTATGTGGTGACATACTCGATATTGTTTGGAAAATCCATAATTTTTTTGAAAACACACGAGGTAATTTCATCAGAGACTCTGCCTGCATCTCTCTCACTCCACATACAGCAATAAGAAGAATCCTGGTGATTTGAACAGTTTCTTATAGTGAGGTTGTACATGGATAGAAACCTCTTATAATTAATGTGCAATATTTGATGATAAGTAAAATACAGGAAGAACCTGTTGGAAATCAAACACCAATAGAAATCTATTTTCATAGTACTTCACTAGATTTTTATCATGATTTTTCATATCATACCCCTCTTGGGCCTCTTTGATGTGAGAGTCATGCATATCAGAAACAATTTAGCGATCAGATTTATTGGTTGAATATATTTTCTTTAAAATAAACTCATCACATTTGTTGCATGTGTCAATAAATGGTTCTTTAAATTTATATCCTTTGGCATTAAACTGTTTTCTAAAAAATCATAGAATGCTGACTTAGTGAGACCATTTTCATTTCTGTGCTCACAGTGTTCCTTATACATAATTTTAATATTAAAATTACTTGGTAGATATACTTTTTTAGAGGAGCTATCTCGCCTAGCATAGTGGCTCTCATGTCTAGGATATCTGTCTATAAATGCATTAATATCTTTAATATCCTCGCTAGTAGTTTTAAACTGTTGTGGGTGCTTACCTCGCATACCTCCTTGGATAATTCTAGATGAAGAAGCTTTCACTTTTTGAATAATGACATCCACCTTGTCTCTACTTAAACCAAAAATACTAATGAACATAGTTTTATATATTTCTGTTGTAGTTCCATCATCTAAAGTAACATAGCATGACACCAGTCGATCATGAGTAACTCTGGTTTCTATACAACTATGGTATTCTGTCAGCTAATACTTGGTCTTTTGCACAAACTGGTAGTTTGTAAAAATCATTAAATTTTCTTTCATTTTGATTCTTTGGTTTTCTGATTTAATCTTCTCATCACACTTTCTCTTAACGCAGCAGTTTTCAACAGGTTTGAAAATTCTAGATGAAAACAATTTGCCTTTCCTATTTTTATAGTCCAATTCTTGATTTTTTTTTAAACTTTTCGTTTTCTCTTTTTCTTATACCTTTTATTCTTTTTGTACATTTACTGTGTTTTACTACTTTTATAGGATTTTCAGCGTTGTCGTTGTTATCAAGACAGAAATCATACTAACCTCAAAATTTTCTGATTGAGAAGGAATTCCGTCTCCCTTCACTGTCAAAGAAACTAACAGTGTCCTCCTACTCACATTAATCTTGTTTTTAGAACTGATAGTCAGGATAGTTTTTACTGTTTACACAATGCAGTCACTAACAACTGGCATTTGAAAAAATACAATCAAAATCAAAACAGTAGTTGAATAGAAAATAACTACTGTGACTGATGACAAAATAAGGTATGTTCATTGATCAGCTGATAAAATGGCAATTTCTAACATTAACTGAAGATGACAAAATATGATAAATCACCTTATCAAGTTTTGCCATCCGTTTAAACTAGGAATATATCATCAGACAAAGCCGAAATTCTAGATAAGAGCACATAACAGTTACTGCCATCTTCTGTTGACTTACAAATTAAAATTGCAAAAGTTATCAAAAACGGGTAAAAGTACTTTTTTATTTTTGCAATCTTACCATGACTGGATCAAGTTAAAACCAATGTCAAAATGTTGTTATGTACCTACTTAACTGCTTTTGATATTTTTGAGATTGGAGGAAAATCACATATCACGTTTGGACCAGGGCTATATTTATGTTATTTACAAAGATTCAACTTATATTTTACCATCTGTTAGATCTCCTGTTTTTGAACATGTCCATATGCATAACTCAATTTGGCCAAAAATGTGACTTATCAGCTTGTGTCATCTAGCTACAGAAATGTAACGTGTGTTTCTTACAGCCGTTCAAACTTGATTAACGATACATTGATATGAGAGACCAAAACTGCTTCTCGTGGCTTCTATAACTTAGATGCACCAGAAACAATAATTGATTGAATATTGAAAATTGATTCTTGCAGCTATTATCAGATTATTCATGCATCACGTCATACTTCTCAAGACAGTCAACCTGCTACAACGGTTTCAAACAATATCCTTAACTTTTGACGAGTTTATGAGGAGTACGTAGCCACAACAGAAAGAACAATGGAAAGAGCAATGTTAGGTATACGACTGTCAGATAAAAAGAGGAACGACTGGGTAAGATCCAAAACAAAAGTCGAGGACATAACAACAAAAATTGCCAAACTTAAATGGAGCTTCGCGGGCCACACTTCTAGACAGAAAGACCAACGTTGGAATACTACAATACAACGTTGGAGACCTTACGAAAGTAGACGACCAAGAGGAAGACCACAGATGAGATGGGTTGGTGACATTAAAAGAATAGCCGGAACAAATTGGAAATATGTTGCTCAGGATAGAGACCGATGGAAGGAGTAGGGAGAGGCCTATGTCCAAACATGGACGACAGAAGGTTAAGAAGAGGAAGAAGACGTTCCTAATGAGCAACGGGCTAACAAACTTAGTAAACGTTATTCTAGAGTTTAGATAGAAATCATCTAGCTAAGTTGTTTTCCAGAGGCAAAAAAATTGCTTGAACGTTTTAATCTCATATCGAATCTAATCTAACCTTTGCTCAATTGTAATTGTACACTTTCTCAATTAATTTTCAATTAAAAACAATGTAACACACTTTAGATTACTTATTGATAAAATAATTTCATTCTTAAATATTTTTATTAACGGAATTACTTTAATAGTATAGAATATAAACAAACGGGAGTTTAATTCTCGGATAAATTCATCTGTCTTTATTATAATAAAGTTAAAGTTAGTCATGACCTTTAAAAATATTTGATCTAGCAAATCTTTTTATTTTGGTATTAGATTATTAACTATTATTTGCCAAGTACAATGTAAACAGTTGAGACACTTGACTAATAGGTATAGAACTAACCTCGCGACTATAATAATGTATTATTTCATGATTATTTTTGTTTTGATCAATTCGGTTAAATAAACTTGTTTTCGAAATTAATGCATCACTTTGAACTAATACATGGAGAAACTGGGTCTCATGAACAAAAATGTA